GTGGCTGACATTATGGCTTCACCAGTGGGCCTTTGCCGCCCTGCCCTTTGTTCTCTCCCTCATGTTGTGCAACATCTTTCCTTGCAAGGAGAGAAAGCAAAAGTTATTAGAGAAAAAGATTGTGAATGCAAGTGGGAATGACATCAATTGTGGACACTGACTGTGAAGCAGGAGTGTGAGATTTCACTAAGATAGAGGCAACTGAATATATTGACTGTTGAGTTGGAGGTGTGAAGAAGTGCCTAAAGATAAAGGACTGAGCGGAGTTGCAAGGTTCATGGGAACGTTGAGAAATGTCTAGAAAGTTTGGAGTTAGCACCGATCATGCCATTCAGCTTTATTGCCCTTAAATGAACTTCTTGGTGCATTATAAAATCAGAGATGTACAGCATGGAAACAGACTCTTTGGTCCAACACATCAATGCTGACCAGATATGCTCGATTAATCTAGTCCCATTTGCCAGCATTTAGCCCATATCCCTCTAAACCCTTCCTATTCATTTACCCACACAGGTGCCTTTTAAATGTTGTAATTGTACCAGCCTCCTCCACTTCCTCTGATAGCTCTTCCATACACACACCACCCTCTGTGTGAAAAGGTTGCCCCTTAGGACCCTTTTAAATCTTTTCCCCCTCACATTAAACCCATGCCCTCTACTTTTTGACTCTTCTACCCCAGGGAAAAGACCTTGTCTATTTAACTTATTCATGCCCCTCACGATTTTATAAGCCTCTATAAGGTCACTCCTCAGCCTCCAACGCTCCAGGGAAAATAGCCCCACAGCCCATTCAGCATCTCCCTATAGTTTAAACCCTCCAACCCTGGCAACATCCGTGTAAATCTTTTCTGAACCCTTTCAAGTTTCACAACATCCTTCCTACAGCAGGATGACCAGAATTGCACACAGTATTTCAAGAGCGGCTTAACCAATGTCCTGTACAGTAACAACATGATCTCCCAACTGCTATACTCAATGCGCTGTTCAATGAAGGCAAGCATACAAAATGCCTTTTTCACTATCCTATCTACCTGCGACTCCACTTTCAAGGAACTATGAACCTGTACTCCAAGGTCTCTTTGTTTAGCAACACTCCCCAGGACCTTACCATTAACCATATAAGTCCTGCCCTGATTGCCTTTCCAAAATGCAGCACCCGTATATTCAGGTTTAAGGGACAACAATCTTGCTGCTGACTTCCTTAGCCACTTTGCGCTACCTCTGCTTGACTTCAATGGCAGGCTTCTCCTTCCTATTTGCAGAAAGCAGCATCTCACTTAAATCCTCAGATCCCATAGCAGGAGCTCTGGGTAAAAGTTTCCTCAGATCTGGGCAGCATGGTGGCTCAGTGGTTAACACTGTTGCCTCACAGCACCAGGAGCCTGGGTTCAATTCCAACCTCAGGCAACTGTCTGTGTGGAGTTTGCACATTCTCCGTGTCTGCGCGGGTTTCCTCCGGGTGCTCTGGTTTCCTCCCACCGTCCAAAGATGTGCAGGCTAGGTGGATTGGCCATACTAAATTGTCCGTAGTGTTCAGGGATGTGGAGCTTAGGTGGATTATAGGGGGATGGGTTTGGGTGGGATGTTCTGAGGGTCGGTGTGGACTTGTTGGGCCGAAGGGCCTGTTTCCACACTGTAGGGATTCTATGGACTCTCTCTACGGGTTCCATACAGCTGAGGTTTGTGCATAGTTCTTTTAGTACTTTATCACGTTCACTTTCCTATAGGACCCACACTACTGTCCTGATCTTATTTTTACTTAACTGCTAACCATAAAACCTCCTTTTATGATTCCCACATTACTTGATATTGTTACTGACACTCTCTCTTCAGGTACTGTGCACCTCTCCTTCCAATCTGTTGCCATCACACTTCTCCTCAATAGTTCAATACTGGCCCCTCTGTTCTTGAAAACTACATTCCGTGCTCAACCTTTCTTTCCGCTCACAAATCCCTCTGTGTGCTGTTGCTTCCTAGGTGTTTGTCAAGGAAATCCACACTTGAATCTGTCTAGTTATGTTCCAGTCCTGTCACAGTCCTAAAACAGCTTTTAATGAAGTCATTAATGACATCTTATTTGACAATGACCTGAGTAAGCTATTACCCTTCAACCTTCTCCACCTGTCTGCAGCCTTTGACACAGTTGACCAGACCAATCTCAACACCTCTCGGCTATCGCCTAGCTGATGGGACTACACTTGTTCTATTCTTATCCAGCTGTGGCCAAGACCACCTGTAATAACTTCTCTTTCTCTGTTCATACCACTGCCTCTGGTGCTGCTCAAGAGTCTCTTTGACCCACCTCCTATTTTCCATTTTCACGTTGCCCTTGCTGCTATCATCGAGAAAGCAGTATCAGTTTCCACCTGTGTCCTGGCTAATACGTAATTCCTCTGGAATCCTCCATAGTGTCAAAATCATCAGACGGCTTGTCCAGCGTCCTTTAATGGATGAGTTGAAATTTCCTCCAGCTAAATACTGGCAAAACCAAAGCCACTGAGTGCAAGTTTTTGAAGTAGACCTGCTTACAGCGGCAGATGGATGGGAATTGATGCGTCAAAGAAGTGGGCTTTGTCATTGTTCTTTAACTCCGTGTGACAGTATTACACTAGTTTTGGGTTTGCTGATTAATCGCCAAATGTAGGCTTGATGACCCATACTCTGGCAAAGAAAACCTTTTACTGAAAGGACCCGGTCTGGAGTTAGATTAGTTTGACAATTTCTGACTAGGGAGCAATACCATGACAAATTTGTAAATTCTTTAAAAGGCTAGAGGAGTCTTTAATTGTTTTGAAGAATCTTTGAAAAGGACTTTTAAGAGGTTGCATCAATTCTAAGGGGATCAGTTGTGATTTCTTGGATAACGAATACTGGTTCTTATAATCTGGAGCACTTGACCTGGAAGAAGTACCAAGTGGCAGGATGTTGAGAAGCTGTATGACTGGTAAATACAAAGAGAGCTGCAGAAACAAAGGTTAAGTCCAAGCAGAGGAACTGAAAGGTGCAGAGACAGGTTGTTTGGTTGGAAAATAACGTTGGAAAGCTACACCATCAGGATTGCCATGACCTGATGAAAAGAGGATTTGTAAAAGTGTCCTTTGCTGATGGCTGTCGTAACTGTGAAATTGCAGGTGAAAGCTGTTACCAGACCTACCCCGAGTGAATAAATAAGCTTTTTGTGGAATGGTGCGGCTATGTAATGCCATGTGTGCTAAAGGAGAATGCCTGTTCTTATAAAATATATCTTTGTATCAACTATTCAAAGTGACATTTATTTGATGTATCATATACCTGTTAATTCATGTTTAATTTGCATAGTTCTCATTCAAATGAAAGTAAAAGTTACAAAAAATGAAATCATGCCGGTATTATTTTTCATTTGGTAAATCTGCTTGTTTTGGTTTATGGTTTCTTCATGGGGTTTGTGACAGTAGTTAAACTGTGCAATGCTTCCTGAGACTTCAGTTACCACAGTAGTCGTGAAGGAACTTGAGAAAGCTAGAAACCAGTCAACAATTACGATCTTTAATCTTTGTGACTTGTTGCCCCTCTTTATGAATATCTAGGTCCAATCAATTGACTTGGACTGAACAGTTAATTCTGCAGTATAGTAACCGATTTCTGGAACAAAGTCTATTCCTGGATTATAGGACGCAACTGACATGGATCTTTCAGAGTAAGCAGTTTACTTCGGATCAACGTCCTCCAAAGCAGACTTTGGGATACACAACAACACAGAGTTGCTGAGCAGAGGCATATAGTCAAGTTTGGTACTCATGAGGACAACCTTCACCAGGATCTTGGGTTCATGTTGTATTGCAGGTGACCCCACCACACTACACACACACACACTCAGATCCTCTCTCGTACAGTCTCCTATGCAAACACACACACACACTCAGATCCTCTCTCGTACAGTCTCCTATGCAAACACACACACACACACACTCTTCCCCCCCCTCTCTCTCTCACACACGCGCGCACGATCCTCTCTCGTAGTCTCTCAAGCGCGCACGCACACACACACACACGTGAATGTATGGGGTGAAGTTGTATTTGCAGATACATTCTATTTTGTTCAAAAAGCACACAATATATTGTCAGTCAATGTGGCATTTTATAAATTCCTACTTTAGAAGCGAAACCAGTCTGACTTCAAACCAAAACATAAGGAGTTTCTGAACAAGGCCTCACACCTACCAAGCATTGTCTGACCTAAAATGTCACCTCTTCTTTACTGACAAAGCCTTTAGTTCTCTCAGGACAGAGACTTGAAAGGAATTCAGGGATTTACATATACACATTAATCAATTAAAACCTTCTAACTGATTAAAGATTTAACAGCATCTCAGGTTTGTTTAATACATCCTGATCAGTGGCATGACCCTTTGATCTTTCACTTATAAATTCTGCGTCTGCATCACGGTTGAGTCCACAAGTATGTGAATGGGGTTGGCCATCACTTCCACGATTGGAAGGATACACTGAATTCTGCACAAAACTCTGTGCCAAGTTAGCATTGTACTCCTCCATGCTATTTGATATTTAATATAGGCTTTCTGGCAGGCCTCCCAATGCACCAAGTATTTTGTTATGCATATCCATCCATGTCATTCTGTAATAAAAAAAGAGATGCTGCAAATACTCAGCACAGCAGGTGGGAAGCTTATGTGGGGGAGACAGAAAGAGAGTTAACTTTTCAAGTTTATAACTTTTCTTTCTCTAAAGATGTACTAGTTTTCATGATCACTCTCTTCATGGTGTTCCTCCACTGCCTTTCAGACTGCACCACTGGGTACCTGACAGCAAGACGCCAGGAAGGGAAATTTAGAAATGCATGAGCCCGCCAGGTCTGTGGCTTCTAAATCCAAACAGACTGCATGATGACTGGAAAGCAGAACGTGTGACGGAAGATTGTATATGAGGACATGTCCTGGTAAGTACAAAATGAAAAGTTTTGACTTCTTGTCTCCTTTCAACAATTTTTAAGTTTGGTACTACCAAGCAATTATTTATCCTCCATGATTGTTTTCCCATCCAGTTAGCTCCTGCTGCTTTGAGCTGTGTGCCACCTCGCCCTGCAAGAAAAATGGAATTGTGTCAGTGAGTGTGATGCAACTGCTGGGTTATATGGCTACTATGATTTAACAACTGGCAGTGTGTGCAAGCTGAGAGATGTGGATGTGAGAATTACAGCAGTATAACATATGAGTGTGCAAAGCAGCTTCTGAATGTTAAGTGTGAATATTGAATGGTAGATACGGTGAGTGTTGAGGGTGCGATAAATCAAGCAATGGCTTAGGTTAGTGGTCAGTTATGACACTTAGACATGCATTCACTGACCTTAACCATTCATGGGAGATCCTGAACCT